TCAACCTATAATATAAGATTTTCATGGTGGAATTGGGGATTATTGGATAGAAACTAGGAATTTCGAAATTTGAGGATTTAGACCTCAAATTGAGGTCGGATTCCAAAATCAATTGTATATCCGGGCTCGGGGGTGAATGGGTAATTGGGTTTTGGCCCGAATTTCGGGTTTGGACCAAGGGGTCCCGGGTGTTGACTTTCGTTGAGTTTTTCAGGAATGGCCTAAATTGAATTCCTTACAATCGTAGGTAGTTCCTAAGGCTCAAATTGAATTGTTTGGTTGGTAATTTGCTAGATTCTATTGGTCCAGAGGCTTGTGTGAAGGGAAAAGCGTGTGGCTGAGCTTTGAGTTGGTCGTTTGAGCGAGTTAAGTGTTGTGTCTAACCTTGGCTTGAGGGATTAGGTATTGTTGCCTATTTGCTACGTGTTTGGTTGTAGAGTACAACATATAGGTGAGGTGACGAGTACCTATGCGTTGTTGTCAAGTCATAGCATGCGAGTGAGTCTTATTTTTGTAATCGTGATATTCTTTAATCATATTGTTCATGCTTAGACTAGTTATTCTTTATGTTGGGCAATTCTTATCATGTATTACGGAATTTGATATTGATTGAGTATTGAATCAAAACTGAGGTTGACATTGTGGAACTAAATGTCGAAGTGAGACTTGTTATTGATAATTCTATCTCCCGGTTGTTATTGTTCTTGTTTTGGTGAGGCAGAGTGTAAAGCACGAAGGGTGATGCTGTGCCATCTTTATATTCATATTCATGTGAGGAAGAGTGTAAAGCACGAAGGGTGATGCCATGCCATTTATATTCATTATCAGCGTTTCTTTCATTTATTATGGTGAGTATGAGAGTAAAAGCACGAAGGGTGATGTCGTGCACTTGTTTTTGCTATGTTTAATATTTCCGTTGGTGCAAAGCATGTTGTTTGCTGTGTTTCTTTATTGTTACCATTTTCATGATCTTATACTCCCCACAACATGTTTTTCCCCTCCTGTTATTATCTGTTTAGATTCTATTAGTTGTTATTGCTCGTATACTGTTTAACTGCACATGTTTATGTATGTGTCTTGTCCTAGCCTCGTCACTACTTCGCCGAGGTTAGGCTCGACACTTACCAGTACATGGGGTCGGTTGTATTGATACCGCACTCTACACTTTCTGTGTAGATTTCGGTACTGGACCGTATTGACCCGAGTTGAGCTGCTGACTTCAATCCTATAGGAGACCCAAGGTAGATTTGCCGGCGTTCGCAGACCCTGGAGTCCCCTTCCAGTTATTTCAGTCTACTATTTCTTTTATTCGAAAACAGTTGTATTTTCCTTCAGCCGGTATTTGTAGTAACTCTTAGAAGTTCGTGAATTGTGACACCAGATTATGGGTAGTTGTGTATAAATATTTGGATTATTATGAACTTCCGCACTTCTTTAATCTGTTATGATATAATTGATGTCATTTACTAAATCGTTTAAGAGTTAGCGTATTTAATTTCTAATTGTTGGCTTGCCTAGCAACTGAAAGGTTAGGCGCCATCATGGTCCCGACGGTGGAAAATTCTGATTGTGACACAAAACGGGATTGTAGTGCAAAAATACAAAACAAAATGTTATATAGTAGTGAGCGTTAGGCCATTAAAATTCAGAACAAAGTAGAGCTGACAACAACGTTTTTTTCAACAACAATATTATTGAAGGTAAATATAATAAATCTATTATATTATGGGTACTAAAATAAATTTTAATTTCTTAAATTAATTGGCAATAATATATTTTTATTGCGGCAAAAAGTTTTTTATTGTTGGTAAAGTGTTTACTTATCTACCAGTTTGTTTTAAAAATATATTTAATTCTTTCAAGATTTTAAATGAAAACAAGCGCGGCAATGCTTCCCTCGTTTTTATTCCCTTTTCCACCAAATTTCCCTCTTTTATTTTTCTCTTTCACTCACTTTCCCCAATTTCAGTCAGCCCTAGCTATCCTAAACGCTCAATAGACGTGGCCAGAAAAACCAAAAGAAATTTGCTTTCTTTTTCTTTCATGGTGGTTGCTTGATTAAGCTTGAAACCATCAACTGGTATGGTTGCCGATTGGTGTTTTGACTCGAAATTCGAATGTGGGTTTCTTAATTACGGCTTGAAATGGCAAGTTACTTCCCCTCTAATTTCATTTGTTTCTAGTTTATGATTTTGATTCTCTTAAAATTTTGGTTAACGCTCTTAAAATAGGAGGTTGTACCTCGGGTCCCTCAAAGCAAAAATTAGGCTCAATATCATGCGAAATCATCACTGAATTCTCAAGAACATGAGTTTTCCATGTATTGGAATATAAAACTTGAAATTGGATGTAAAACTTAACAGAGGAGCATTTGAAATTATTTTATAGCAATCAGCTGCTTCAGAAGCTCTGCTAAATTGACAACTATCTCTAACAATTGTAGTTAAAGTAGGATAGAAGTTCCATCAAATTGTTAAGTTGTAGTTCCAGAAAAACTAAAAATGTCGATAGTAATTGGATGAACTTGTACATCTGTCTATTTTGCATTCTTCTTTGCATTGTTCTTTAACTGAAAGAATGTTGATGGTTGTTGAGGCTTTGATGTTATTGGTCAAGACTACCATCTTTTATGCCTGTGTATATTGAAATGTCATTTCCTAGTTTTGAAAATTACCTTCTCCGAATTTTTCATTATACTCAGGTATAAAGTATTTCATAACATGGAAGCTAGAGAGGAATATCATGAATGAGTCAAAGCTACAAAGTTATGGTTTGAAAATTTTAATATCCTATTCTATTAAGTAATTAACTATTGAATTCTAGGAGTAATGTTGAAGAAGTGGCACTTACTATCAGAAGTAACAAAGAATAAGATCAACTACTTGATGGCTATGTTGGAGTAGGGTTCTGTTATTTTCTAGTGCACCATTTCATAAGCGACAAGCTTACTAACTGTTTTTCAAGAGATGTGCCTTTAGTGTTTTTCCAATAGAAAACTAACATCTGATTGATAACTTATTGGTTGACATCTTGTAATGATTTTTAGGCAGAAGAACAAAAACGTGCCATCACTTCTCGTTTTGAAGTCCTAAAGAAAGAAAGACACGATTTCTTTGGTGTTGCATATATTGTTAATAAGGTATAATGCTGCTTAATTTCTATTTCCTTCGAGTAATGGTGATATGAATGTCTCAGCTTAAAAAATAGTCTCTTCTTTTCCATCTCAGGAAGGCGCAATTTTTTTTGGAGTGATGTATTGAGTGGTTATTCCTAGCTGTATTTTGGAAGATCTTTTTTACGTTATTTAATTCTGGAATAAGGGCTGGAATGGTTAGAGATGGTACCTATTTATTGTACTTTACCAATTAAACTTACTTATATGTAACTATGCCTTCTTGTTTAGTTAAGTTATTTATACTTAATTTTTTTTCATACCTAGATGGCTGAGACAGGGATAAAGCCAGGACGAGGACAAATTTGTCTTGCTATACACAAGAAATAAGATTGGATCATATATGAGTAAGGGGGCAAGAGAAATGTGTAAGTTGCACTCCATTCCGTTTATCTCTTCTAGAACTAGAATCATGATTTGCATCTTGGCATGAGTCTGTAATATTGGTAATAAGCATGGACGATATGTTGGTTATGTGAGGAAGTTCTGCTTTTGAACTAAATTCAGGTGTTTTATGTGCCTCTAAACAAACTATTATAGTTTGTGATGCTCCACTAAAGAGATTCATTATTCTACTTTTCTAATTCTATAACCAGTGTGCTTTAGCATCTGAGGTTGTCGTAGCCCCCTCGATGGCTTGAATGAATTGAAAAATCTTGTTCTTATATTTAGTTTAATCACAGGTCTTTTCTTGTTGCTATTGTACTGTGTAAAACTTGAAGAGAGAAAAAGATTATTTGTAATTTTATAACCAGTATTCTTTAGTGTTTGAGGTTGATGTAGTGGAGCCACCCTTGATGGCTCGTGTGAATTGAGAACTTTCTCATTACTAATATGCTGGGCAGCCCGGTGCACTAAGCTTTCGCTATGCGCTCCGGAGAAGGGTCGGACCATAAGGGTATATATTATACGCAGCCTTACCCTGCATTTTTGCAAGAGGCTGTTTCCATGGTTTGAAAAGGTGACCTCTAGGTCACTTGGCAGCAACTTTACCAGTCATGCCAAGTCTCTCCTTCATTACGAATATGCTACCTTTAACTAATTATTAGTTTACTAGTCTTATTTTGTTAGAGAAATGCTAGTGGTATAAGTTTCTCATCATTTTTTTCCTCATTATTTCAGCTTGATGGTGAGTTTACTTCACTTGTGGAATAAGAGGATCACGGGTGGCAGTAATGCAAATCACCAAGAAAATACATAGTACTTTTTACATATTTATAAATTATGGAACCACTTTAGATTTGATAATGTTGAAGTTACCATTCTGTAATAAATTTTTTGAGTTACCTTACATGAGTTAGTATTAGTTTAGTTTGATAAAGATTTGAACTCCTTATGCTTAGTATTATGATTATTTGTCATGGAATTTTATTTGTGTTATAAGTTATTTAATAAAATTATTTTTTAATGCTATAATCCACTAATATTTTTTAATAATGAGAACATATTACGAGGGTCATCAACCCCCACAAATAATTTTTTAAGAACATTGAGATCATATTGTGGAGGTTATAAATTGTCACTAGTTGCCTTTAAAAACCGACACAAATTCGAATTCAATTTGTGGGGGTCGTCGTGGAGGTTTTAAAAAATTGCCGCAATATTGTTCGTGGCAATCGTTACTGTGGCGTTTTTAAAAACCCCCACAATTTATTTTGTGGGGGTCGGAAACCGTCATAAATTATCAAAATAACCCCCACAAAATAAGTATTTTCTTGTAGTGCCTAACCATCACCTAATGTAATCCTTGACATACTGAAGTAATCGTCTACTTCACTTAGTTTCTAGCAAAATGCAAGTACAAAAGAACAAGCAAAACCCAAATTTAACTACTACTCCTCTCATTTTATTCACAAACACCAAAAGGCGTAAACAGTGGTTTTACATATTCATAAATCATAAATGAGTTAGGTATGGTCTTTCTTCAATATGTAAATAACAATTATTTTCATTTGATAGTCATAACCCATAACAGAATTCCGAACTCGTAATATAATCATAAATTGTGAAGTAACTTCAAGGTCAATGATCATAATTAATTATTAAGTTTCTTTTCTTATTGACCCGTGAATCACTCATCAGAAGGAGAATCACTATGCTCCACGCCCTCCAGGTTTTGATATTTGTAAAGCCAAGCACATGTCACATAGTAACCAAAGTTCAATACCCCGCCTACAACCAATACCCAATACACATTGTCCAGCCTTCCCTTATTTATGTTACCTGGTAACCAATTTGTCGTCCTTCTAACTACATCAATTAGAGCAGTAGTCAAGTAAAATGCGACCCCAACAATCACCGAAATCATCGCAGTTGCCATGTTTTTTAAGGTTGTAGGAAATTCTTGATAGTAAAATGCAACTTGTCCAGGAAAATGAAATGCCTCTGAAATGCCAACAAGTGCTAATTGAGGCACAAGCCATAACACTGACATTGGCACAATATTATAACCTTGATCAAGGTTGTTCGATTTTGCTACCTTTAGCCTCTTCGACTCGACTAAGGCCGAGACGCCCATGACCAGAGCATTGAGCACGTGCCCGACGCCGATTCTCCGGAGAGGAGTTAGGGATTTGCCAGTCAACTTCTTCCACACGGGAAAAAGAAATTTGTCGAACAGGGTGAGGAATAGAGCAGTAGAGATCATGGAAAAAACGAGTATGGAACCAGCTGGGATTTGGAAATGAGGTCCAACGTGACGGTCCATTGCTAAGGCTTGAAGGATTGACATACTTGCTTGTACACCAATTGTTGTGCCAAGGAAAAAGCTACTTGACCATAGTGGTAAGGTTCTGATTAAGGATTTAAAATCTTCTACTTCTTGGACTGAACAAAGTTTCCAGGGTTTAGCTATACAGCCATCTGGTTTAACGTCACCTTCACTTCTAATGGCTGCATGGTTTAAGAACCTGCATCATGATGACCAACTTCCATAAAAAGTATTCATTCCCTTAAATTTTTATTTTCAGACATACGTTTGGAAAGTATATGCATAAAGAGAGAAAAAATTGAACCTTCAAATATTGCTTTCGTATCATCATCCAAACAGTCCATTGAAGTCTTTCAAGATTTAAAAAAAAGAAAAAACAGTCTTTCTATTCTCTCTGTTTCAATTTAGATGAGGTAGTTTGACTCGGTACAGAGTTTAAGAAAAAAAAAGACTTTTGAAACTTGTCATCTTAAAACTTAAGGGGTAAAAGCTTTGTGGCGCCATGATATTTATAAGCTTCTCATTTCGGGTAAATGGGTAAAATAAAGAGTTTAAAGTTGAATTATTTTCAAATTTAAAAATTGGTCATTTATTTAGAAACAGACTAAAAAAGAATGTACTTTATCTAATTTGAAACGGCGGGAATAAATTGATAGACAAACATAAAAATATGCTGACATCTCAAATAGGAGTCTCAAATTAAAGCTCCACTAAAATTTTCAATCATCGCACGATCGTATGTACTAGTTCATATCTCCTAGAGTGGATTTGACTGTATGGCCATACTTTTATGGTGCTAATTTAGGATATACTAAATCCAAGACAGTAGTAAATGTCAAGATTTACCAATGATTCACCACTGAGACAACGTAAAACAAAAAGTGATGCAAATAAAGCATAATTAAGCGACAAGGAAATGTGGATCAGCTAAAGTAAATACTTTTATGGTGCATAATTAAAGTAAATACCACGTACTGTTCGAGATTAAGTCGATAAAATCGTTTTCTTTTTAATAACGTAACGTTTCAAATGAAATGATTAGATAATTATACATAGTACTCTCTACGTTCCACAATAAGTGACCAATTTACTTTTTTATTTTAGTCCAAAATAAGTGTCCATTTATATAATCAAGAAAAAATTCAATATGTTTTTACAAAATTACCCTTATAAAAGTTTTCTTACTCTTTACTTTAAATATTTAATTAAGGGTAGTTTAGTCATACTAGATATTTTTGTATAGAGTTTAGTATTTTCTTAATGGGCGTGTCAAAAGCAAATTGGTCACTTATTGTGACCCGGAGGAAGTATCAAATAAACCAAGTTGAGGTCCTAGATTCAAATCTCACCGACACCAATTATATCTAAAAAGAAATTTTTACATCTTTGCCCCATGAAAAAAGAAGGGGAGCCTTGCCGTAACTGGTAAAGTTGTTGTCATCTGACCAGGAGGTCACAGGTTTGAGCTGTGAAAACAACCTCTTGCAGAAATACAGGGTAATGATGCGTACAATAGACCCTTGTAGTCCGACCATTCCCCGAACCCGCACAAAGCGGCGCGCATAGCGAAAGCTTAGTACATCGGACTGCCTTATTTTGGCTCATGAAAAAAAAAGAAAAAGAGAATGTGGCTCGTGGCTCGCACATAAAGGGCATTGTTGAAGTTATAATTGTTCTTTTCTCTCATGGTTTAAACACTTAAATGAGATAGTCACACAAATAAATAAATACAATTACAGCACTATTACCTGAAGGTTCTTGAAGGTGGAACAACTATTGCTTTAGGTGCAACATGATTATGTCCATGGTAGAAATCATCACCACTCGATGGGAGTGGTTCCTTTCTTTTCCTAATACTTGCAACCACAACACGTGCCAAACTGGTGAATGGACTACCTTCTGGCTTAGAATTAGTGTAAAATCTGCTTCCCATTAGGAAAATGACTAAACCAAGAACACTAGCTCCAACACAAATGAAAAATCCAATTTTCCAGCTCACATTATCTTCAACATAGACAACAGCTGTGGATGCTACTACAGAAGAACCATACACGAAGAAAAAGAACCAATTGAAGAAAATCCCTTGATCCTTTGGTTTATTAAATTGATTGGCTCCAAATGTTGAAAGGGTTGATCGAGAACCACCACTCCCCAGAGTTGCCAGAATTATGGCTGCATAGAGTACTACATACTGAACTTTTGGTGTAGGACTGCATGATGTTGAGCCAACTTCACAAGGCTTAGGCCTCAAAGAATCAAGTGTTGCTGTTAAAGCTAAAAGGATTGTGCCCTACAAGTAGAAAAGACAAAAAAGAAAAAATCTTACTCTCTCCGGTCCACTTTAAGTGAATTTATTTTTTGTGATTCACAATATTTGATTTTTTCAGATATCAATAAGGAATTAACTTCTTCTTTCCAAAGTAGTCATTGCAGTAAAGAGCATAGGAGTAGTTTGTTATATTTCCAACGAGTAAATTAAGGTTAATATGATCAATTATATTGTTAATTAATACTAAAAGGTGAATTCCCTATATGTGTGAACATAGCCAAAAAATTATTTAAAAAGTGGACCGGAGGAAGTACTGATTAGGTACTATTAAATAGAGGGGTGAAATTGTCTAGAACATTTACTAATTGGTTTCGTCAAAGTCCAGCTAGCAACAATAACTTTGGCATAGTCCTTAGATAGCTCTTATCAAAAAAGAAAGTTGAAGAAGATGCAATTGTTGGATTTTCTTTTGTTAATATATGTATGGATTAAAGTTAAAACCTACTATAAATTGGTTCTCTACCCATACTAATAGATACTACCTCAATACATTTTCCATCGCTAAATTTGCTGTGGCGTAACATATGACAAGAGAAGAGAAATCAATTTATCAACTAGGCGAGTTACACGCTTATGTGAAATTATTATATTCAAAATAATGGTATATATATATATATATATATATATATATATATATATATATATATATATATATATATATGTGTGACTTGTGATTAGTATACGCATATATATAAAGTTAACTTTAAAGCTTACAATGCACGTATAATATTTAACTTGGTAAAACGAAAAAAAAAGGGTTTGCTAGAGACGAAATAGAGGTACCAATAAAGAGATGATGGATGAAACCCAGATGATAGAGTAGCAACCAATGAATGAGTCGGCAATAATAGCAGCAACGACGGGAATCAAACTTCCAGCACCATTAACCAGATTTGATATCTGAGCAGCATCGATGCTCTCCACTTCATATTCCTTTATCAGATACACTATAAGGTTGCTCGTCAAACCTCCAAATGCTAGGTTTGAACCTACTGTTGTCGCTGCATGTTTCCATAATGGAATTGAAGTCAACACATTACATAGTCACATCCATGGATCTATCGATATTTAAATATGGTATGAATACGAGTAGTTGCAACTTGTATGTCACTCATAAATTAAAAGGTCCCTATTGTTATTTGCCGTGAATTTTATGTGAGAAATCAGCAACTTCCTCCGTTTTAAAAACTACACTACTTAATTTTTTAAAGTGTAATTTAGTGTTATATGAAATGAAACAACATAAAGAGCTTTTTCTCTGCATTATCTAGCAAAATACGGTAAAAATGCAACATTTATACCGAAGTATTCCTTTGGAATGTGGTGATAAGTGTTGGTTGTGTAAACAAAGTCTCATATGAAAAATATAAAAGAAAAAGAATCTACTAATTATAAGGTCTTGGATACGAGGCCTTTTGGGAAAGAATTGCACGGAATTGAACATTGTTATATCATATATTAAGAGTATTTTTAGGCATGTTTAATTAGTTGTATTGAAGTTCAGAGGTGCAAAAATGGCTGAAAGGATAATGCATGGACAAAAGCAATTCACATATCCGTTTTATACTCATTTATTCAACTATCACCTCTAACCTGCAAACACATGGAAATTAATACTATTAATTAAGGGGAAGAGAGAGAGAGAGAGACCTATGATGAAGGGGAAGGTGATCCAGGCTCCTAGTTTACCATGTGCCTCGGATGGAGCTTCCATGGCTGAACAAATAAAAGAACTTCTGAAGTTATTGTGTATCAGCAAAAGGAATTTCTTCTACTAATATCTGAGCGTTTACACATTAAATGATAGTTCAAACTCTTCAGAGAGCACTAATATATATAGTATAATCTATCAGCATCAAGAATCTATAAACACAGACCTTGTGTTGGATAGTGGAAAGAGAAGTTTTATATATAAAAAAGTATGTCTCCATGAAATACACGTTTTAGTTGACTTTCTTGAACCAATTATTATTGGCATTGTTGTTATGCTTTGATGGGGAAGCTAGAACTTTCACTGAGGTCAAAATATATAGAAATATACTAAACACACACAAAAAAGGAAAAATTTCATATTAAAACAACTGGGCTGCCTACTTTTCAACTTTATAGCCTATATTTCAATTTACAATTGAGTAGCCCAAAAATAACAGGCCCATATCCGAAAAAAGGGGCGTTATTTTCGTTTTTTTGGATTCAGAAGCGGGATTTTGTATCTTTCAGCGGGATTTTCTCTCATTCTTTCTATTCTTCTTCCCCAAATCTACAAAAAACGCGATCTTACAGTCAATGCAACTCCAAAAAACCTAGAAATTCTTCTTCATCTCGAATTAATAGCAAATCAAACACGAAAAGTGAATTTTTTTTGCTGCAATCAGCGCGATTTTCATTTTTGCTGCAATTTTGATTTCAACTTTTTGTTCGATGGAGCTTTTTCCAGTTTACGTTCTTCATAATGGTGAATGGGAAGAAAACAAGTTTATCAATTTCGTCAGCGATTGTGTAATAATCGAGTCGACATTCAGCTACAACAATTTAGTTGCAGTTATTTCGGAACAGATTAGAATCGATTGTGAGTTAAACACATTAGAGATTAACTTTCTCCCAAAGGATGGTTTGCCACCGATCCTGAGTTACAACGATACGGATGTTAAGGTGTATATCGAATTAATGAAGAAAAACTTGAATTTCACTGAATACCCGTTGTATGTGATGTGAAAGAGATTTATGATAATCGTTTTGTTGCTACAAGTTCCAGTTGTTTGGTTTCTACAAGTTCTAGCTGTTTGGTTGCTACAAGTTCCAATTGTATAGATGCATCCACAATTGATAGCACTGAGATTATGCCTGATATCGAATTTATTGAAAATACGGGTATAATAGATAATATGTTGAACGAATTTGTTGAGGAGGATCAAGTTTATAAAGATAAAGAGACAGTTGTCAGTGTGATGAAGAACTTGGCTGTACGCGAGAGGTTCCAATTCAAGGTGAAGAGATCAAGCGCAACAAGGTATGGCAATAGTCGTATATTTTGTTATATATATGTATAAATATGTATAAAGTAGTATATATTTGTATATACGTATTAAAATTAGTATATATCTAGTTATGTTTTTGTATACAAGTGTATTTAGAAGTTGAATGATCTTTAATCCTAGGTATCACCTTATGTGTGTGGATGACAATTGTGCTTGGAGTTCGAAATCATCTGCCGTTTACAAGGCAAACATATTCAAGGCGAGAAGTTACAATAATAATCACACATGCGGCTATGGTGAAAGATACTTAACACAATGTCAAGCTACTTCGGGTGTAATTGCTAGTATAGTCAAGGACAAGTATGTTAATCCAAAAAAAGTTTACACCGCAAATGATATAATAGAGGACATACAAAAGAAACACGGGGTTGAAGTGAGCTACATGAAAGCATGGAGAGCTAAAGAGATAGCAATGGCAATGATAAGAGGGAATCCGAGCGATTCATATAAGGAGTTGCCGAGGTATTTGTATATGTTGCAGTACAAATCCAGGAACGATTACAAAGTTGCACAAATCAGAAGATGGATACTTTCTTTATGCATATGTTTCGGTATATGCATCTATCAAGGGTTGGGAGCATTGCAGATCGATAATGGTTGTTGACGGAAGTTTCCTTAAAGCAGCATATAAGGGTACCATATTGACTGCTTGCACATAGGATGAAGCTGGTGAGTTGACTGCATCTACCTTGTTTCTGCAGTTTGTATAATGTTGTAGTTTCATGTATAAAAGTGTATAGGATTTCACAGCTACTGTTTTTATAAAATTTGCAGTTGGTATAAAATTGTATAATTGTGTATAACTGTGTATAAGATTTGTATAATTGTCTGAATCCTAATATCTATTTGGTATAAACAGAAAAAATCTTTCCACTTGCATATGCAATTGTAGATTCAGAGAATAACAAATCTTGGGAGTGGTTCTTTGTCCAGATAAAGGGTACTTTTGGAGTTAGGGAAGTGATGTGTATAGTTTCAGATAGAAATGAAAGCATCTTCAATGCCACAAAAGCTGTGTACCCAGAAGTACCACATTGTATTTGCATGTTTCACTTGTGGCAGAATGTCAAGCGCACATTCAAGAAACATCACAAACAATTGAAGGATATCTTCTTTGCTTTGGCTAGAGCTTACACGATAGAGAAGTTTGACTACCATATGACAGAGATGTGCAAAATTGATCCGAGGGTGCAGCCTTACTTGTTCGAAATTGGCTACGAAAGGTGGTCTAGGGCATATTCCAAAGTGAAAAGGTCGATGGTAATGACTTCCAATATTGCAGAGTCAATTAATGCAGCAAACAAGGATGCTAGAGAGTTACCAGTAATGCGATTGCTGGAGTACATGACAAATTTGCTACAACAGTGGAACAACAAAAACAGAAAAAGTGCAATGGAGACATCTACAGAGCTTGGCGAAAAGTACGACAAACTCCTTCGGGAAAATCTGATTGCATCGGAGCAAATGACGGTAAATTGAATCAAATATAATGATGCTTGGCACTGCTGACTTGCATTTTACTGCTTGTATAAGGATGTATATCTCTGTATAATAATGTATAATGTTCTTTCACTTTTTTTTTAAAAAAAAAAACTTTTGCAGGTGAGGCCTGCTAGGAGAAGTGATATACTGTGCTTGAAGGGGTAAGGCGAAACATAGTGTGCCTTGAAGAGGGAACATGCAGTTGCGGCAAATTTCAAATGGATGAACTTCCATGTCCGCATGCTTGGGCGGTTTTGAAGAACCAGCAGCTGAAACCTGGCCAGTATTGCTCTTTTTACTACAAGAAGGATAACTTCCTTAGAACTTATGAATTTCCAATGAATCCGATGCCAGATGAGAGTTTATGGGTAATCCCAACAGAGGTGCTGGAAGATGTGGTCCTACCACCTAAAGGGAGAAGAAATGCAGGAAGGCCCAGAAAGGAAAGACTCAAACTTGCTTCAGAGAATGAGTCTAAGAGGGCGTGTTCATGTTCTGTGTGTGGACAAAGTGGTCACAATAGAAAAACATGTAGGAATCGACCAAAATAAATAGTTGGAAACATAACACTTTCTATTACATATGTTGTCATGTTGAGTAGTTAAGTTTCACAAACAGTAGAGTTACAAATGTTGAGTAGTTAAGTTTCACAAGCAATTGAGTTACAAATGTTAATAAAGAATTACAATTTACACTATATGTTACAATTATGTTAAATATATTTTATTATACATGTTTTGATTATCCAATAATAGTGTGTTGCTGTTTTTAATGGTGCTAAATATATTGATAGATTGTACAAATGCAAAACAGAACTGCAAACAATCAATGTTATTATATGTATACAGATGTATAAATGAGAGTATAAGTTTGTATAAAACTGTATAACTATGTATATTATTATATACATATGTATAAACCCTGCAACATTGACAAAACTGCAACAATAACGAAAATACATACTTTGTTAAAGGATAGCAACTGAAATATTCATTAAAATGTAATTCATTCACAACCATAATGTGTAATGACTACCACAAATTACACAAAATAAAATCATCTATAATATCCTTTAAGGTTATCTCACAAGTAGCAGAATAATACTTAGACAAAACTAGGCAACAACTCCTAATACATAGCAAAACTACATTAAAATGAAAAAAATAGAACTACTTTCTCGGTCGTCCCCTCTTCCTCTTCCTGAAAAGTCTTCCTGTGATTTCATCACCACTAATTGCACAGGACTGTTGTCTTTCCTTCCATAATCCCACAATAGAGATCCCCACCTAGTGCGAAGTGTCTCAATGTCAAAATTATCTTTTTGAATTTCCTTACCTAGGATGAAATACTCAGCAAAGCTAGCAACAAAAGCACCACAATCACTGTAATTAAAAAAAATTAGATTCTCTGTAAGTTGCTGTAAATAGGTACACTAATAGTAAAATAGTAAAACAACTGAGATTAACCTACAATTTGATTTGTTGTGGCACATTATTAACCAGATTAATCTGCAAAGCATCAGAATAGGATTTATTGGTATATGCACCATTGTTCCAATCAATGCCCTTTTTCTCGACATAAAAATCAAAACTCTTCAAGAAGTAAGGTATCAAAATTGCATAAGGTAATGCAGCATCCAAAGCAAGTCTATCACTAATAGCTCCACGGTTAGAGTCATAGATGTGGATGCACCTATCTATGAACGTAAACAACCCCAAAACCCAGTGGCCCAATTTTGCTCTTCCGCGCTTGACATAGATAGGGAATAAGACGTGGTCAACAGTGTGCCACGCTACATTTGCATCACAATAATACCCCCTAATGTACTCTTCTATTTCATGCTCTTCAAGAATCACTGAAGGATCTTGATTCACTTTGAAATCTTTATACAGTGAGTTGATTTACCAAAGGCAAAGTCGGTTGTAGTAAACCGCATGGCAACATTTGGCCCATATTTTTCCCTCTTCCTCAAATAGTAAAAGAGGACATCCAAGTTCTGAGACAAGAAAAATAAAACAAAAACAACCATCACTACTAAATGATTCAAAGTACTACAAAAAAATCAATATATGATGCAGATTTTTTAAATATACAAATTTATACACTATTATACAGAGTTATACATATTTATACAAGGTTATAAAATCTTATGCAATCTTATACCGTGATTATATAAAGTTATGTATACACTATGGGGGTCTCAAACAATAAAGATACGCAACAAATAAAAAAAGGCATTAGGACAGAAAGTTATTAAATACCATGTCAATCAAAGGTCGACCACAATACCCAAGTGAGTGGAACCAATCCTTCATGGTCACATGACACGAGCCAAAAGTAAAAGCTTCCGCAAGCTTATTTACTTCATCGGTATAAATATTTTTGGCACTTCAAATCACCAAAAATAAAAAGTAATCAGAACTACCTTTATTGACAAGTATAAAATCAGAACATGAAAGCTTAAAGAAAGTTAAGATACTTCGCCTCGTATCCATCCCATTATCAACAAACGCGCAAAACTCTTTGGCCAATGGCGACAAGGGGTCAAAATCATCAATTTCGATCGTGAAAGGATGCTTGATATAAAAAATGAGCTTGTGCACCGATCCTGAAGCCCCCGAATAAAAAACTGGCAAATACGGAGATTTAGCATATTTTCCTGATATTTTCTGTCGAACCGACTGTTCAGGAGAAATGTAATCCTCTTCTACGTCTATGACGGGTGGTCTGTGAAGCACAATTTGGGACATCTGTAGCGCAGCTAAATCTTCATCGCCAATGTCATCCAAAAATGTATCACCCTTGAAATCACCTGCTGCCCCTTAGACAGAGAAAACCAATAATAAAAAGCTTTCAAAATGAAGAAAAGAAAAATCAGACAAAAAAAATATAAAATGCAGAACGAATACCATGATCAACACCATCAGTAACTCCCTCATTTTCTTTGACACCTAAATCTGTTTGGTCAGCTAGCGTGTTATCTTGATTCACTTGCTCGACAAAGTCAGGAACAACATCATATTGATATCCATCATATTCGCCGAGACCAGATGTATTGTCATCAGACATGCACTGACGAATCTAATAAAAAATAATAGAAAGAGAAGGCATAACTGTTGAGTGATGATTCAGAGAAGGCATAACTATTGAGTGATTTGGTTTTATCAGTAAAACATTACCTTAGAATCAGGAACCTCCTCCCTCGCTTGCTTGGTTTCCTTTATATGCAGAAAACTGAACACTTTTTCAAAATAAGAAACTACATAACTGTTGAGTGTCTTAACTGTATCAGTCAACTACAACAAAAAACAACAAAAACAACAAAAACAATAAAAGTAAATCAACAACCATGTTTATAACCAAAAAATCATGTATATACAAAAAATACCGATATACTACAGAAAAGCTAAAGCTGCAGTACCTTTCCAACAGCACTCCTCAACTTCTCAACTTCAACATTCAACAGATCAATACGCGCCGAAGGATCATAACTTGGGTTAGGCTATTGCTCCGTATTTTGAGGATAAGGTCGTTTAGATTGTTGCTCCGTATTCTGGGGATAAGGTCGTTTATACTGTTGCTCCATATTCTGAGGACAAGGTGGAGATGCAGAGATAGAATTATCAGTGTGAAAGGCAGGCACCTCCCCTGATGCAACATCATCGGCATTAACTTCAAAAAATGTGGCGATGTTCAGAGTTGACATCTCTTCACGAGTTGGGGAAATGTTCCTATAGTTCAACTACAATAAGAAAAACTGGATTACAATAGTAGAAAAAGGAAATTGTGACATATTCATAATTATACATACTTACAGAAAAATTGAAATCATATATGAAGAAGTATTATGGTACAAAATATTTACATTGTAGATATTAGACATGATCACCCCGCCAGTCAAATCCGCATATGTTGGAGTTTCAATAACTTTTCAATTAAGAATGCATGGCACATTGTGCCAACGCGAACAGCTAGATGCTTTCAACCATAGAGCAACACTCAAAAAAACCATATTTATAACACAAGTGGCAAACCTCGGAGCCTATACATTGTCAAATAGTCACACTGTCTGTCCCTCATTGTCTTTAAAATGTCTTCAAATGACTTTTTTCCCCAAGCATACGTCTGATATTGACCACTTTCAATGATATCAAAATCATCTTTGTTGATACCATGATTATTGGCATATGAGAATATGAAATGATGGACAAACACCATCAAGGCCATCTTGAACGCATCTTCGTCCGACTTTCAGTCCTTTTTCTTGAAGCGATCAAGAAGCTGCCCCCTCGTTATAGCCTTTTTTCCATCTCCTGGAAAATACTCTTTTAGCAACTTATTGACATCTGGTTTGTCATAGACAGTGACGTCTTCTTCTACACACTTCAAACCAGTGATAGCAGCAAACTCTCCAATGCCAAAACTCAGCAAACAACCCGCCCCGGGACGACTTTCCTCAATAGTATACAATGAATAAGTTGATTTTGAATTTTAAATTGAGGCAGGTCCAAGAAGTAGCCAAAACAGCTAGCACGGAACATTTGAAGCTGCGTGTCAGTCAAACATTGCTTCAAAATACTGACAATATCAGTCTCGGTATGGGAACTAATCCTGTTGTGGAAATGATCAGCTGATTGTATATAGAAGTCTCCAACCTTGCATATGGAAAAATAACAAGAAAGAAATAAGGAACAAAATTATACTAAAATAATGTATAAGCATGTATAAATCAGTGTAGCAGTACTTGTATAAAGATGTATAAACAGCTGTATAACTTTGTATGAAATTGTATAAGGATGTATAAAATTAATAGCAACACAGGGAATACCTTCAGCTTAGCTTTTCTCTCCTTCAATTTCCGGTGAGTAGCAATCCTTTGTTCTTTGGATATGCAATCAAGACCACTCTCACCATCGTCCTCGATCTTGCATTTTTTATGCTTAACGTCCTCGATCTTGCTCTTTTTATGCTTAACGTCCTCGATCTTTCTCTTTTTCGGTTTAACACTGGGGCCTATATCATCTTCATCAACCAAATCAAATTTCAGCTTTTCTTTGGATTTTTCATGTCTCCCACATTTCTTACTCCTTATTCTAACAATGTTAACTGGAGTAGGAGTATTCTTCGTTTGCGAACGAGTCATTCGACTGCTCTCTTGTTGCGACTTTTTTGTAGGAGCAGGAGACTAAAAATCATCATCATCGAGGGCCTGGACATGCGCATTCGCTTCAGAATCAGGGGTTGAGGGCAAGTCCCTCAATGTTTTAACTCGAGTAGGAGTATTCTTCGTTTGCGAATGAGTCATTCGACTGCTCTCTTGTTGCGACTTTTTTGTAGGAGAATGAGACTCAAAATTATCATCACCGGGGGCCTGGACATGCCCATTCGCTTCAAAATCAGGGCTTGAGGGCAAGTCCCTCAATATTTTCGCAAAATCGAGCTTAACACCTTTTCCAGCAACCTTCATACGACTTTTAGAAGCAGACATTTTCGAACGCATTTTCTACAATAAAACAAATAAAGCTTTAACAAAAGTGAAGACAAGTGAAGG